TTGGTCTCCAAAACATTAACGTTACCAAGTAAACTTGTATTGTTTTGAATTAAAAACCTGGAAGTGATTATTTTATAAGTAAATGTAAGCAATAAGTAAGTGTGTTCGTGTCATTAAACAATTAATAATTGATCATTCTCAATTAGCATAATATTCAATAACCAAATGACTTTAATAGAGCTTTATTGACATAACCGACTTGAGACCAGATACCAAGGACATCGTATATAGAAGTCAGAAGGTAAAATGAACAACTACACATATAGATCTTAGTTTAGATTAACTTAATCACGAATTGATTCAAATTTTCACATTCATTTTTTTCTTTTCAAATTAATTTCAAATATTCAATGACGAGGCCAGCCCCCGAGTCTGGGGGTACAAATGAGGGGCATACTGACTTTGACTGACTCATTGGGGGACAATTGCCGAGACTGAATGCAAAATATGGCAGCCCTGAGGAGGCGTTCAAAGTGCAAACCTCTCATAGGGCATCTGTCAGGGTTCTCACAAGACGATTTTTGAAAAATTGAATTGCTTTGGTACATTCTGAATGATCATATTTTTCAATTTGTTCAAAATAAAGTGGGGGATACCATTTTTGTAGAGGGGAGGGGGCATTGCCACCGCCACTGCCCACACTTTCCTTCTAAATACTTCAATAGGCAGTAGACAGCTAAGAAGGGACAATATTAAACTATAGGACGACAAATGAAGCAGGTTGACATTAACACTTATAATATTGGTATTATTCGGTGTTTGGTGGATAAAGTGTATCAGGAAAATACTATCATTTGGGAGCTGTTCGGGAATTATGGTCATATCTCGAAGAGGGTCATTTACGCTAGTTTTTAACGTGGTTTGGGGTTGGGCTTGCAGATCTTGGTTTTTAGATTACAATTGTTTGTGTTGCCCGTGTAATCTAACTTTCTACCAAAGTCCCATAGAATAACCAAACCCAAAAGAGACTCTAGCCTGGGTTTAGCTATTCCACATTTTCTTATTTTATCAAGAAACGGATTTTACATGACATGCTTTGATTGGTTAAAAAAATCCCACAAGGACGCACCTTTGGTAGAAAACTTGTTAGATTACAAAGGGGACTTAAATATCAGGAGACAAAAAAGATACGAAATCAATTTTTAATTCGATTGACACTAGTACAAAGTACTGCATGAAATTGGTATTAAAAGTGTTGGTGACTAAAAATCTTCCGGTAAATTGAATCAGATTGAAGAACTGTTCAGACATTCGTCTCTCAGAATATGGCAGTGGTTACCAACCTTTCTCAGCCTTCACACCACCTCGACATTTCACACCCCCAAAAATTTGTTCCATCCGCATTTCTAGCATGTGATGATGTGAGGTGCTCTCTCAATTCAAAATAAATTCTTCTCCTACACCAGTTGGCCACACCCCTGACACGCTAGTCCCACACCTCCAGGGGTTGAAAACACCCCAGGTTTAGGAATCGGGGGAATATGGGCATTTACAATAGATTTGTACGTGGCTTGAGATGGGATAAGCAGATCTTAGTTTTGTTTATGGAATTTTCTGTATCCCCAAATCTTCCTTCGAAATACTTCAAAGGGTGGAAACTTTTTCTATTTCAACATACCATGTAAAACATAAGTTTTTTATAATTTTAATATTTTATCTTTTATGGAAAATTTACCGTAAAGGATATTCGATAGCTAATATATCCGGGTTCACATTTTTGAGGACTTTAAAAGAACATCTGAAATAAATCGAATGAAAAAATGTAAATTAAGCCCCTTTCCATCGATACTTCTTCCCAAATAGGGGGCAGACTGACTTAATTGGTCGAGGTTGAGGTTCTTCAGAAAATGTTTGAAAAATAGAATTGATTTTGTGCCTCTAATACAAGTTGTATCAAAACTCATAAAATACCTGTTTTTAAATTTGTTGGAAATATATTTGGGGTACAATTGGAGATACACAACATTTATAGGGTCAAATCTCCTTTCAACACCCCCTAACCTCCCCCCCTCCATTGAAAAAAACCGCTACTGCCCACATACTGTATTTAAAAGGTTGGATAGAATGATATAGGCAAAAATTAAGAGAGGAAAAAAGGGGCCTTTTTAAAGATTAATCAATCAAACTCTTTCCCTAGAACCTGTATATCTGACAAGGAAGAGTCCACACACAATGAATTAAAAAATGTGTCAATATATATTGAAATATTAAAATGAGGATGAAAAATAAAGTGAAAGAAGAAGGATGTAATTGATAAAAGTTGCGACATTAAATGAATCAGAAGTAATTTTGGCTTTTGACTCAACCATTACAATATTTCAACTCGTTTTTAAATTGACATCATGAATCATGATGTTTTATAATGGGGTGTATTTCTCAAACTCATTCATTTATGATGTTAAGAGTCGACATTTTAGAAATTTCGGCCCCAAATCGCTAATCGGCATTGTCACGGCTCGGGCCCACTCGTGACTCACAGGGGTTGTAAAGAGGTTTTCTAGAATGTGGAATTGCTGGAACCACAGACGTCTGGTAATTGGAATAGTGTCAAAATGATACACATGAACAAGTTTTACGTTAGTTTTATAGACCGATCGAGTATCGTAGTTCTTAAAATCTGTATTTTGTTTTTTATCGCTCAAATTTGGCGAGTTTAATTTCAAAAGTGTAAACGTCGATTGTTTCAAACCACCAACGACAGGAGTTTCTGGGGAATCGTTTGAACAATTTTGAGTAATAAATTATTTAAGGAATGAATGTGGATCTTGTTATCGTTATGGGGAAATAAACGCTGGTTTATCATGTGACAAGACAAATGACAAAATTTACATTGGTTTATCTTTTGTGATAAAATACGCTAAAATGTTCTTTTTTTTAATTGTAAAAATACCCGAAACCGTTGTTGCTTAATTCACCGATATCTGTCAATCAAGTTCACCGCCCCGCCCCTAACAATATAGTTCTATAAATAGACAGTCTTATTTGGATGATAGAATTATCAAATATGTATTATTGCATTGAAATATTAACAACAATTGTAAATTTAAATAAATTGTAAAATTAGATTAGACTCTAGGTAAAAAACTTGGGTCAATCCTTGTTTTCGTTTTCGATGTATTCATACGCCTTATTGTCACGTGACAAACTACAGTTATTGGAAAATAAACGCCGGTTTGGCTAACTGGTTTATTGAAGGGAGTGATAGTAGAAATGTAAATATTATAATATAACCGAAGGATTCCGACTGCGTGAACTATTCGCGACTTTTCTTTGAGCTGGTATCGGGTGCGTTTTTATGTATATAAAAAGGGTACGAAAAGTCTGAATGGGTATCATCAGAGTGACAATATACTGGGTTCACATCATTAAACATTCTGAAATCTTAAACGAGTTATCAACCGATGTCAACGAGATGCGTATTAGTAATGTCCAATGCTTCAATGTATATCGTTGATAATATGAAGCAATTGTAAGACTATTATACTATCAACGATTTCGACATCGATACAACTTTAAATATAGTGAAATATTGACACCCTCTCTTGGCTGTACTTGATAAAATATTGTAATATTTAACTGTATATATGACAGGATTCAAATAGTGTTGGTAATAATCTTAAAATAGAGCAACGATCAATTGAGGGGAGAGTTTTAATCAAATACTATACATATTTGATATTCTTACACCGTTCAAAACTTTATCAACCAATTTCTTCCAGAAATATCAAAAGACCCTTGTGCTCGAACCTCGTTTGGGAGAAATCAACTCTCCTCGCAGCCTTTTTTTCTTAAAGCAACATATTTATGATCTAATCAAGATAATGTTGAAATAAGAATTCTAAGACTTCAACAATTATGATCGTTTAACAAGTAACGCTATCTCCAATCCCTGTCAACGAGATAAGAGAATTATGTTTTTTGGGGTTTTTTTTGGCGGACCGTGGAATATCAGTTTTCGGCTTTTCCAAGTTAGAGGTAGGCTCATTGGCTGAGTGGGGGCCCCGGGAAATTCTTTTTGAACATAAGCTCTAGTGCATTGTGTGGGGGCCCGTGGACTTGGTTCAAACAGTCTCAGTGGTAGTTGGAAAAACTATTCAGTGCACCTTTAAATATTGAAGGCTCCTAAGCCATTGCACCGTGACTATTGCTCATGTTTCTAATAAGGGTATTAATACAACAATTACGTGTTCAAGTCACGAATCACAAATATCACATTACTATCACATTATTATGCATGAATCATTTCCAAAATAATTTATATACATAATAAACCACCCGTTTGTTTTAGGGTTGCATAGCAGAACTATAAACAGTCAAATTAAAAAAGAAAAACATCACAAAGATTCCATATACGGGTTTTGACACCGTCTTAATCCTCGAGGAGGTATGCCGAATGGGGGTGTGGTTTGGACACGATGAAGGATTCCCAACAATAACTTCAGTATTCTGTAATAAAAAGGTGCTTTAAATGATTTGATATCCTATATCATTACAACATATCGAATATCATTTTTGATGAAAGATAAGCAAGAAACGTTGTATTAGGGTACCAATAACAACACAGGTCAATGGCAGTATGGCTAAATACAAACTTATGGAGTTCGTTCCTACAGCTAATAACAGTTTTCTGTAGTCAGAATGAGTATAATAACAGTTGTCTGTAGTCAGAATGAATATAATAACAGTTTTCCGTAGTCAGAATAAGTATAATAACAGTTTTCTGTAGTCAGAATGAGTATAATAACAGTTGTCTGTAGTCAGAATGAGTATAATAACAGTTGTCTGTAGTCAGAATGAGTATAATAACAGTTTTCTGTAGACAGAATGAGTATAAAAACAGTTTTCTGTAGTCAGAATGAGTATAATGTCTGTAGTCAGAATGAGTATAATAACTGTTGTCTGTAGTTAGAATGAGTATAATAACAGTTTTCTGTAGTCAGAATGAGTATAATAACAGTTGTCTGTAGTCAGAATGAGTATAATAGCAGTTTTCTGTAGGCAGAATGAGTATAATAACAGTTGTCTGTAGTCAGAATGAGTATAATAACAGTTGTCTGTAGTCAGTCAGAATGAGTATAATAACAGTTGTCTGTAGTCAGAATGAGTATAAAAACAGTTTTCTGTAGTTAGAATGAGTATAATAACAGTTGTCTGTATTCAGAATGAGTATAAAAACAGTTGTCTGTAGTCAGAATGAGTATAATAACTGTTGTCTGTAGTTAAAATGAGTATAATAACTGTTGTCTGTAGTCAGAATGAGTATAATAACTGTTGTCTGTAGTCAGAATGAGTATAAAAACAGTTGTCTGTAGTTAGAATGAGTATAATAACTGTTGTCTGTAGTCAGAATGAGTATAATAACAGTTTTCTGTAGTCAGAATGAGTATAATAACAGTTTTCTGTAGTCAGAATGAGTCTAATAATAGTTGTCTGTAGTCAGAATGAGTATAATAACAGTTTTCTGTAGTCAGAATGAGTCTAATAATAGTTGTCTGTAGTCAGAATGAGTATAATAACAGTTGTCTGTAGTCAGAATGAGTATAATAACAGTTGTCTGTAGTCAGAATGAGTATAATAACAGTTGTCTGTAGTCAGAATGAGTATAATAACAGTTTTCTGTAGCCAGAATGAGTATAAAAACAGTTGTCTGTAGTCAGAATGAGTATAAAAACAGTTGTCTGTAGTCAGAATGAGTATAATAACAGTTGTCTGTAGTCAGAATGAGTATAAAAACAGTTGTCTGTAGTCAGAATGAGTATAATAACAGTTGTCTGTAGTTAGAATGAGTATAATAACAGTTGTCTGTAGTTAGAATGAGTATAATAACAGTTGTCTGTAGTCAGAATGAGTATAAAAACAGTTGTCTGTAGTCAGAATGAGTATAAAAACAGTTGTCTGTAGTCAGAATGAGTATAATAACTGTTGTCTGTAGTCAGAATGAGTATAATAACAGTTGTCTGTAGTCAGAATGAGTATAAAAAGTTTTGTGTAGTTAGAATGAGTATAATAACAGTTGTCTGTAGTCAGAATGAGTATAAAAACAGTTGTCTGTAGTCAGAATGAGTATAATAACTGTTGTCTGTAGTTAGAATGAGTATAATAACTGTTGTCTGTAGTCAGAATGAGTATAAAAACAGTTGTCTGTAGTTAGAATGAGTATAATAACTGTTGTCTGTAGTCAGAATGAGTATAAAAACAGTTTTCTGTAGTCAGAATGAGTATAATAACAGTTGTCTGTAGTCAGAATGAGTATAAAAACAGTTTTCTGTTGTCAGAATGAGTATAATAACTGTTGTCTGTAGTTAGAATGAGCATAATAACAGTTGTCTGTAGTCAGAATGAGTATGATAACAGTTGTCTGTAGTTAGAATGAGTATAATAACTGTTGTCTGTAGTCAGAATGAATATAAAAACAGTTTTCTGTAGTCAGAATGAATATAAAAACAGTTTTCTGTAGTCAGAATGAGTATAATAACAGTTGTCTGTAGTCAGAATGAGTATAAAAACAGTTTTCTGTTGTCAGAATGAGTATAATAACAGTTTTCTGTAGTCAGAATGAGTATAATAACAGTTGTCTGTAGTCAGTATGAGTATAATAACAGTTTTCTGTAGTCAGTATGAGTATAATAACAGTTGTCTGTAGTCAGTATGAGTATAATAACAGTTGTCTGTAGTCAGTATGAGTATAATAACAGTTTTCTGTAGTCAGTATGAGTATAATAACAGTTGTCTGTAGTCAGAATGAGTATAATAACAGTTTTCTGTAGTCAGAATGAGTATAATAACAGTTGTCTGTAGTCAGAATGAGTATAATAACAGTTGTCTGTAGTCAGAATGAGTATAATAACAGTTGTCTGTAGTCAGAATGAGTATAATAACAGTTTTCTGTAGTCAGAATGAGTATAATAACTGTTGTCTGTAGTCAGAATGAGTATAATAACAGTTGTCTGTAGTCAGAATGAGTATAATAACAGTTGTCTGTAGTCAGAATGAGTAT